GTAAGATTATGAGCTTTAATAAGTAAAATTATCCCAGCTACAATGACAGACAACAAATATTACATTTATAGTATTACAACTAAAACAGTTTTTGACGCCGCCACCGCAGTCTGTCCTTCATGAGCCTTCATAGACAAGATGGCGGTGCAAGATGGTGGCTGCCTGTGTGGCGACCCGCGACCATGGAGATATAAACAGCTTTTTATAAGGTAAAAATAATAAAACAAGGTCTTTGTCTGCAATGATTAGACATGTTTTTTACTATTGTCTTTAGTGATTGTCTCAATTTCGGCTAAAAGACTTGACAAAATCCTACACACTGTGCCTTTAACTTACACAGTAAAAAATGAAATGTTGGATTTACTTAACCACGTTATGTTACCTGGTTCCACTTAACTGAGTTGAGTAAATTCAAAGCAATATACCAGGTGTTTTAACCAAAGAACATGAGTATGTTGCTTTGCTTTACTTAAGTGTTAGGAGGAACAAAAAAAGTAAGACTAGAAAGGTCGGCAGAAACACAACAGCCCAATGAAATTAAACGAGGAACTAAATTAAGTAATGATGATGGGCAAAATCTTTTTGCCCATCATTACTGTCTATTTTTGTTCTTTGTTGTTTATTTTATACACAAATAGACAAATACTTTTGACTTTAATAACACAACAGAAAGTAACTCAAGTTCTATCTTTTAAGAGAGTAATTTGATCATATTTAAGATGCTCTCATAGTTCCTCCCAGTGAATTAATCATTTCCTGTCTATACTTTTAGAACAACTGCTTTCCTGCCTGTTTCAACACATCATTGTTTCCTGCTCTTTATATATATATTTTATAAAAGGAACCAGACATAAAGCTTTTATCACCACAGAGATACTTCAAGACTACAATTACAGATATTTTATCTAATTATTGAGTTTAGACAGACGGTGTAGGAAAAATGGAGGAAAGAAATTATGAAAATTTGCCCTATGACAGAAGGATGAAGCAGGTTAAACAGAGTTTTTCCACAGGTAAGATGTTCTTACATTATCTTTATTTTTATTTATGTAATACTTGTACTACTACCACCACTACCACTACTACTACTACTACTACTACTACTACTACTACTACTACTACTACTACTACTACTACTACTAGTAGTAGTAGTAGTAGTAGTAGTAGTAGTAGTAGTAGTAGTAGTAG